GGACCACAGGGGAGAACCGGAAGATCCCCACCAGCAACCACATACAGTGACCCCCCGGGGCCAACAGCGACAAACTCATAGGCCTCCGTCGGCACCCGCCACACCGATGTAGGTCCAGGTCCAGGCACCGAGGCCCGGGCACCGAGGACTCACACCACCCAGGCCAAGGCCTGACAGGGCCAGAGGACCCGAGCCCCACCAGGCAGACACCAGGCCGAGCCGACACACGCCCAAGCGCCCAGCCCCCGATACCAAGGGCCCCAAGCGCGCCGGCAGGCAAGGGCACACCCCACCAGGGGGCCGCGCGATAGGGGCGCGATGCCAAGCACCCCCAGTTGTATCAAAGAGGGGGCAGTCCGAATCTCGGCCTAACAAATACCCATTCATACACATACACAATCACACTATCCCAACCTCAATCTCACATTCATTCACTCAAAGACATACAATAACGATACATTTCATTCTTATTCCCGATACACACTCTATACCCCCCAGGTCCAAGACATGTACCCGCCCTCTACAGGGGGCAGCCCATGCCCAAACCCAGGAGGTAAACCCATTCATTCTTGAGTGGAGAAGAGCCAATACCCCAGACCCGGCCCAGGCCATGCCCCGCCGACAGGATACCCCCCCACCATGAAGAGGACACGCCACCGACCACCCCCACACACCGCCAACAACCAAGCACGCACCCCCAGCCGACCGCCCGCCAGGCCCCGGCAGCCACCCTGGCCAGCGGGCCAACCATGGCACCCAAGAGCCAAGCTCAGGGGGTCCAAACAACCCCAGGGAGAGCACAGCGCCAGCACCGCCCATGGCAACCCCCAGACCCTGAACCCCCACATAGTCCTGGTCAACACCCGACGGCCTGCCCTTCTCCCGGACCCCACCCCCGGAATGGCAGTCAGGGAACTAGGTGGGTAGGAAGAGGAGAAAAAAATAAAATAAAATAAATAAATAACTAAAAATAAGACCCCGACACATACACCCCCACCCCTAGATGTGCTGTTGATGTGTGTTGTTGTATAGTGCCATTAAAAAGGAAAGAAGAAGGAGCAAAGGCTGGCATGGTGCCAGTTTCCCCTCCACCCCAACTCTATCCAAACCCTAGTGTCTAAATGCAACCGTTGTGAGCACAGGCACAGGGGGTGAGAGTAAGGTCATCCCACCACCCATAGCCATGTGCCCACCTCAAATTTCTATATATGAATGTCATGAGGATGTTATGAATGAATGTCTAAGGTGTACAATAAAATTGAGTCCCAGGTGGCTATGGTCAACAAAGATGTAAAATTGTTGCAGCACACCCGAGCCCAAACAACCCTAAATGTATGGAATTGAAATGAAGAGGGTGGAGGTGCATGGTGAGGGATGGGGAGAAAAAACTGTGAGAGCAAATGCTCCCACAGGGGGTCAGCTCCCCCACTGACCCAACAGCCCCCCCCCCCCCCCCCCCAGCCCCCCAAGGTCCACCCAGGGATTGAGGCCAAGACACCTCTCCATCTGGACCGACCGTCAGGCCCGCTGAGCTCCAGACCAGAGAGGGACAGAGCCCCGAGGGCCGCCAGAAGCTGCACCAGCAGCCTACACACCCGAGGGCCACCAGGACCCCCACAGATCGCAGTCAGCCCGCCACCAGATGGAGCCAAACCCCACCAGGACGACCCGGCCAAGAGCGCCCGCCCAACCGCCGACAGTGCCAGGAAGCACCGGGATCGAGCCCCCACCACAGGAAAGGGGCCAGCCAGCCGGCCATGCACAGTCCCGGGCCGCCCCCAAGGACATCCACCCCATCCCCACTCCAGAAGAAATACTACACCCACCCCTCATTCGGACATCTCTCAAAACACATAGCACACTAGACACCTAGGCTGGGTCAAACTACCCCCTCCTAGGGGCCACTGGTCACGCCCCCAAACACCCAACCCCCCAGCCCATGACCCACAACCCACCAGCGAGCCGAAGGCCCCCGCCCAGAACCGGGCACCAGAACGCAAGCCGGCCCAGAGCCCGGCAACCCGCCCGCCAGAGCCCAAGATCCCCGAACCCCACAGGCCCAAGCCCGGGGGCGACAAGCCCCCAGAACCCCAAGCCCCCGCGCCCACCCCGAACCCACATCAGCACAGCCAGGCTACCAGATCGGTGACCCACGACCGCCGCCATAGACCACCTGAGGGCCTGCATGCAGCCACCAGCAGACATCCCCCAGAACCACCCAGGCCCTCCCCAGAGGGAAAGCAGTGCCCCCCTGCCCAGGTACCCCCAAGAGCCCAGCCCCCGGCAACCCCCCCGGGGCCCCAAACCCATACACCCACCTCCACATCAACCCCAAGGCCCCACAAGGTCAGATCCCAGACTACCCACCCTCACTATGTAACGGAGCCGATCAAAGGAGCCCACAGAGATTGATCCAATGTGTCGGCAGATGCTGTTTCAAGACTAATATGATCTAACAGCAGATTTTTATACTGATTAATACTAAGATTATTTTTATTTTTCCAATTCAGGAGTATGGTTTTCTTTGCGATGCATAAGGCAGTGAAAATCATGCGACATGTATTTTTTTCCAGGGTAACATCTTCCAAGATAGCCAATAAGCAAACAGACGGAGAGAGTGGAATATTACATTTCAGACATTTAGACAAGTCTTCACAAACCTGGACCCAGAACCTCTGAACGGGTGGGCAGAACCAGAGTGCATGGATATAATCATCAGGAATATTGCCTGTGCACTGTGAGCAGTTGTTAGATGATGTAAATCCCATCCGAAACATTCGCTGACCTGTATAATGTACTCTATAAAGAACTTTATACTGTATTAATTGTAAGTTGGAGATTCTAGTCATTTTAAATGTTCTTAAACATATTTGAGACCAGGTGTTTTGGTCAAAATTGATTGATAAATCTGACTCCCATTTTGCAACAGGTAACATTATGGAGTCATTGATTCTAGACAATTTCTTGTATATTTTAGATAATAATTTGGGGGATTTAAGATTAAGGAACTCTAACACACATATTGGTGTTTCTAACAAAGTTTTATTAAGCTTAAATTTCTTTTTTATTATAGACTTAATTTGTTGATATTGTAAGAAGTATTTATTTTCAATGTCAAATTGTATTATTAAATTATTAAATGGAATAAAGTCTACACCTTCATATATGTGTTCCAAATTTAAGATATTTTTAATAAACATGAGGGTTATGAGGGGGTCCCTGAAACTTTTTCTCCTCTGTAAGGGGTCCCTGAACCCAAAAAGTTTGAGAACTACTGGACTAGATAGACTATTTTGTTACTCCCATTTATAATCAATTTAAATACAATAGTTTTGCTAACATTCATTATAAGAAAAACGTCCACACCTTTAATACATTATAAGGATTCCTGTTGAGATTTAAAAAAACCCAACCAACTTTTAATTTCATGTTTTAATTTGTTATGCCCCATGTTCCACAATTTGTAAGTAGGGCGCTATGATAAATGTTTTGCTACTTCAGGGACATGTGTCCAGGCAGCAACACATTTTATTGTATATTTTGTATATTGTCTTGACAAGCTATGAGTGTGTGATAGATTTATAAATTAAATGTGCCTATTTGTTGATTCATTCATTTACCTACTAATTTATTTATTACTGTGTTAAGGTGTCAGCATGGAAGATGGAGAGAACTGGTGCTCTCAGATTAACCGGCTGCAGGATCTTTTGGATAAATTGGAATGTCAGGTACAAAGTTTTTTTTTTTGTGTGTGTGGACTACATTGTCTTCTGAGATATCAAACATTGTTTAACATCTGTAAGGTTTCAACAACAGCAAAACTGTTTTATTTTATGTATAGCATGTTTAAAATAGAAATATTCTTTAGTAATGTATCTGGTAAACGACGAGGAAAAAAAAGTAACATTATGATGTGAGTGAGAAAAAATGTGTGAGTTTGACAGATAAATTGGTGCGGCTTCCATGTTATTGCACAGTCCGTGCCGGTCCGTAGTGATGAAGAGGGAATTGATACGCTATTTACCTGTAGCTGGAAGGTTAAGCTTTTTTGTTTACAGGTTGGTCCATGCTCCTACCTTCAACCAAGGTCATAAACTCTGGAAAGTGATCATAAGAACAAGACTGCTGATGCAGGCTGTCAAAATAATTATTGTATGCAGTTTAGCTTCGGGTGAGAAGATATAGGGTGTCTCTTATCCCGGCTAGAACACTGGGTTGGGATTACTGGTGCAGCGTTAGAATGGTTCCATTCATACCTGAGCGACAGGAGTTTCTGTGTTAATTTTGCTAACACTCTATCTACTTCTGTGCCTCTTTCCTGCGGGGTCTCGCAAGGCTCCATTCTTGGACCCCTTCTGTTTTCATTGTATCGCCTCCCCTTAGGGTCTATCCTGAGGAAACATGGTCTTTCCTTTCATTGTTATGCTGATGACTCAGATTTATCTGCCGTTAACGCCCAACAGTTCCTCCTCTATTCGCCCTTTGTTAAAATGTCTTGATGACATCAAGAATTGGATGGCTGCAAACTTTTTGAATTTTAGGGGCAGTTTACATGGCGCGTATTTTGAGTGAATCTGCAGCTTTCTCTCTGCGGTTCTGCTGATCATTTACATGACACCAGTGGCCCCCCCTCTTTGAATCCACCTTCCAGAGTGGAGGTTTTTCGCTGACTGCCCCCTGATAATGTAAACATCTCCCGCTGAGGCTTTGTGTTAAACCACATGCGCACACGCACGCGCGGACAGACGCTATATTTCTATCAACATGGCGGTGGATACAGTGCTTTCTGAACTACGATTGATGGAATATATTTTTAATCTCGTATTTAATCTACGTCAGATTCCAGGTGCTGTGACCAACATCTGTGTTGCAAGAGACACCAGTCTGATCCAGTTCTAATATCGTTGTTTATAGAACGAGGAACGCACACACGTCGCACTGCACTATAACATACTAAATGTGCTAAATAACAAGTTTAATAATAATAAACAGTGTTTATCTTTAGTTTGAAATATATAATGAAGCTCTCTGAGATAAATTAAGCTATCTGGACATTACGTAGTTCAAATTATGTGATTAAAATGATGCTAAACATATTGCGTGTTATTAAAGTCGAAAATGAAGACATCGGGTTTAATTTTTATTTTATTTATTTATTCAACACAACAAACTGTATGTCACACAAACACTGATAATTAAACTGAACACATAAAAAACACGTTAACTGTAAACTGCATTAACGAACTGGACTCTTGTTTTCATCCTGGAATCTGGTCCCTAGTTGTCCATCTGGCTCGTTCAGGCTGTCACTCCTTTGATTAATGCAGCTTAAAACATTCAATGGATTGAATAAAAGAAATGAGGGGAATTTTAAATAAATAGTTCATCCAACATCTCTCTCTCTTCAACGTCCTCCTGCAGTGCACCTGGGCCGAGCCTTGTTCAGAACCAGTCTGCCCGGTAGGAGACAGCTTCTTTTTCTTTCAGGAAAAAATATAAACTCAGTTTTTTTTTAACCGAAGTAAACACAAGCTAACATTATTAAGAACATTTGATTTAACTGCTGTAAATCAGCTACTGATTATCACGGAGTAAAGTCCGACATCGATGACTCGGTTCTGGTCCACTCAGTGACCGGTGTGGAGTTGTTAGACGAAGTGGTCCTGCTTGGCGTCAAATCTGTCGACTCTTATCCACAATCCAGCCAAAATCCAGCTTTAACTTGTTGTTAAGTTGTTGTTAGCTGAGCTTTTAGCCCAAAGGAAAGGAGCAGGCCGAGGCAGCACGCATGCGCATTGGGTAAAGGTACAAAATTCACAGCGCCATCTAATGACCTGGCATGGTAACGACAGCGAATTCGGGAGGAATTCGGGGATTCCTCCGGATGCACGTAAACACAAAATCCGACTGTGTCAACGCAAATCTTTTCCTTTAATTAACATACGAAAAAAAATATGTTTCCCCCCATCGTGTCTGTGTAAATAGGGCCTTAATGATCAGAAGACTGAGGTCATTGTGTTTAACCCTAGCTCTGCCACTGTCACTAATCCTGCAAACCTGGACTCCCTTCAGCCATATCTAAAACAGTCTGTTACCAATCTCAGGATAGTTTTAGACTCAGGTTTTAAGTTTAATAAACAGATAAATTCTGTTCTTCAAAAAAGCTTCTTTCAGCTAAGGCAGATAGCTAAGCTCAAGTCCGTGCTGTCCAGATCCGACCTTGAAAAATAAGTCCATGCATTTATTACAACCCGGCTGGACTACTGTAACTCGCTTTATGCTGGGGTCAGTCAGGTCTCTCTCTCACGTCTCCAGCTTGTCCAAAATGCTGCAGCTCGGCTACTAACAGGAACTCGCAGGTTTGAGCACATTACTCCAGTCTGTCCTCTCTTCACTGGCTTCCTGTGCGTGTCAGAGTTGATTTTAAGATTCTTCTGCTGACATTTAAGTGTGTTAATGGCCTTGCACCCTCATACCTCTCCGACCTCCTTCATCCTTATACTCCTTCTCGGGCCTTGAGATCATCAGACCAGCTGCTTTTGGCCGTACCAAAAACCAGGCTGAAGCTCAGAGGAGATTGGGCATTTTCAGTTGTGGGCCCTAAACTCTGGAACAATCTGCCCATCAACATTCGACAGTCCACCTCAGTCTCTACTTTTAAATCTCTCCTCAAAACACATCTGTACTCATTGGCATTTAACACAGGGTGATCTCATTTGGTATTTCGTTGTTGATGATTGTGTTCATCCATTTTGCTTTTACTCCCTGACATTTAATGCATGGTGATTTTATTTAGTATTTCATTGTTTCTCATTATATTTCATGTTTTTTATGCTTTTATTCATGTTGCTGTAATATCTTGTTATTAATATTTGATCCTGTGGTCTTTTTCGGTAAGTTTGATAACAGTTACTGTTTTAAATGTGCTATATAAATAAATGTGACTTGACTTGACTCTTAGATATAGGGTGAGAAGTTAAGTTATTCAGGATTGATTCAGAGCTGCTGCTCGTCCACATTGAGAAACGCCAGTTAATTTGGTTTGAGCATCTAAGGATGCTCCCTGGATGCCTCCCTAGGTTCAACTGGGAGACCCTGGGGAAACCAGGACACGCTGGAGAGTCTGTGTCTCAGCTGATCTGGGATTGCCTCCTCCAAGAGGCGCTGGAAAAGATGTGTTTGAAAAGATGTCTTGGCCTCAAGTTGCTACCCCCAAAGCCCGGCTCCATAAACAAGTAGTATAATAGATGGATGAATGGAAAAATATGTACATGAAATGCTAAGAGGGCAGTGCCAGAGAAGTTAACATGTGTCTGTCTGAACACAGATCTGGAAAAAAAAAAAGGTCAGTGCAACATTGTCAGTTCAACCATGAGCACTGGCAGCAGAATGCATTCATTTTTTGGTCAGTGGCCGTGTTGCCACTGTTTTTCAAACCGTCTCAGCAAACTTATTTTATAATATGTGTGATTGCTTGCTTTGTTTATGAGCATCCTATTTTATTTTATTTTTTTGTTACTGCAGTTTCAAAATATACCATCCATCCATCCATCCATTATCTTTACCCACTTATTCCATTTTGGGTCATGGGGGTCACTGGTCCCCATGTCCAGCAATCACTGTGCGAGGGGCGGGGTACACCCTGGATGGGTCGCAAGTCCATCACAGGGCCACATAGAGACAAACGAGACAAACAACCATTCACTTTCTCACTCACACCTAGGGACAATTTAGAGTTACCAATCAGCCTAACATGCATGTTTTTGGTCTGTGGGAGGAAACCGGAGTACCCGGAGAAAACCCACGCATGCACGGAGAGAACATGCAAACTCCACCCAGAAAGGCCCCTGGACCGGGGTTTGAACCAAGTACCTGCTCACTGAGAGGCAGCAGCTCTACCAGTTGCGCCACCGTGCTGCCCCAAAATATACCATACAAAAAAAATAAATAATACTTTTTTCATTCAATCCACCCATTCATTTTCTTTACCCACTTTTTTTTTTTTTACCCCATAAGATAAATTGTGTTCTTGAGTTCAACTTTTGATAAAATAAATTTAAAATGCTCCCATGGATGCAAATGTGTGGAAAATGCACCCAATCTTAAAAAATAAAATAAAAACACATAATACAATGTGAACATTTTTGAGACAATATGAAAAAAAACAAAAAACAATATGCTTCGTGCAACAATTTTTCAAAAATCATTAATTTTTAGCAAGTGATCATTGTTAAATGATACAATATTACTTAATTGCTCATTAGTTGCTATTCATGAGATTCACAGCTGGACTGCACAGACAGCAGTGCACAGAATAAAACGGCAGCATCATCAGTAGCTTCATCTGTAAGTCTATAAACAATAGCAGGAACTGTTTACCTGCAGCTATAGTTCAGAGCTGTATTTAATATTGTTGTGTCTTTGAACAAACTGTCAATTTGCTGCTTCAATGGTTTTAGTGGTCATGTAGCAAACAGCAGCCTTGAGCATGTGAAACTGCTGCTTTTTTGGATGCAGTTCAGCAGATTGGTGTATCTGTCAAACACCGAGTGCCATCACTTCCCCAGCTCATACCATGACCAATTCCCACCACCCATCCCCAAACCTTTTTCACGCTCTCCTGCTCCTTCTTCCTCTCTCTGCGTCTGCTCCTTTTATTAACTCCTACCACCATCTTCTCATGCTCATTCTTTCATTGGTTTCTGTCCCTCTCCGAAGCATTTTTTTTTCTCTCCTCATTCTTCTGTTTTGTCAAACCGGAGGAACTCTGAGTGCAAAATCAAAGCAGTTCATAACCTGCAGGATGTTCCGAGAGCAATATCCATCTCAGCGACCCAACGCTGACACCATCACACCTTCTGTCTGTCTCACTCTTGTTTGCTGCTCTCTCAAATGAAACAATGAGTCTTCAACCGTCCAGCTCTCTGTGTTATTGTGTTTATTGTATGTCAACCTTCCTGGTGGATGAAAACCTTCACAAAGTCAGATAAACCAAAGATGTGTTTTTTTAAATAATGTTCCATCAGGGTTCTGTTTTCCACTTTCTATTTGTGACTGAATTAATTTTATTTAGACTGTAACAAACAGAAAGGCCATTTTGAATCAGTGGATTTAACTTGTGTTAGTTCTGGCCATCAGGGTACTAACGATCAATTGTTAGGTTCATGGTCCTCCTTTTACATGTGAACAGCTAGTCCTGGATGTCAACAACAAACTGGCTGATCCACGATGAGAAGGTGCTATTTATAAGACTGAGTTTATTGCAGCGCCTCAGACTGAATACGTTTTTTGGATAAAAGACGAAATGTTTTATCCGTCCCGAAAAGTTGACTCAACCTTGTTGGTTCAGTTAGTTCCTTTCAGGAAACAAGATTTGTTTGAACAGGAGAAGATAAGCTGCATTCAGAAGGAAAAGAAAAGAAAACAAAATAAAACGGATCACAGAGTTCATTCATTCGTTCATTCATTCATTAATTCAGTGACATCCAGTTTTATTCCGTCTTTGGTTCAATCACAAGCTTTTTCTCAATTTTGCCACTATTTTGTTTTAGAGTCCCAAGCTGGAGCCACTAAAGGAGGACACACTGGCCGGCACATACAAATCTGTAAGGATGACCTAAAAAATATTTGTTGGTGTATCCATTTATGTTTGTTTGTTTAACATTAAGCCACAGAGGTGTCAAATGTTGTTTTTCTTATGGCTGCTCTCCTCTGTGGGGGTTCCCCCCTTCCTGTTGTAACCGGGACTCAAATCCACAGCACTGAGCTACCACGGTCCACATCGGAGGTTTTGACTCTGTGTGTGTGTGTGTGTGTGTGTGTGTGTGTGTGTGTGTGTGTGTGTGTGTGTGCGTGTGCGTGTGCGTGTGCGTGTGCGTGTGCGTGTGCGTGTGTGTGTGTGTGTGTGTGTGTGTGTGAGCAATTCCAAGTTGTGAGCTGTTTTGTATCATTTTTATTTCGTCAAATCCCTGCTCTGCTGCATCTTTTGTTTATCTTTAATAAATAATTGGTTCTGAAGCGTGTCACCTCTGGGTTGGACTCTACATTTGCATTTTTTATTTCCTTGCTGTGACTAAGGCCTGATGACATGATAAATAGTAATGAGCCGCCATGATGTGAAGTGGTTCGTTTTTACTGACAGGAAAAAAGTGAAACTTTAATCTTTTTGTACAAACCAAATATTAAACATTACATTTTCACTCCCAAATTTCAGCTCTTAAAATCTTTTTCCTTTTGTATCTTTTTTTTTATTTCTCTCACTGTGCTCACCTTGGTCTGAGCTCTTGAGATGATAGGTAGACCTAACACAAAACTTGCTCATTTATAAACTAACATGTAGAAATGTTTCCTAATGATCAAAATCAGGCCTCCACTTGGTGCGCTTTATATTTTCTCATATTTTTGATCAACATACAGACTTTAGGTTACAACTGCTTTAACAAATTTACTGTCCAAGTCTGTCTGAAAACAGTTGATTAGCATAAGATAGTTGCAAGTTTTTAAATGACACTGATCTAATAAACTTGAATATAACCTGTGTGGACTGCAGGGTGATTGAACCTCCTAAATGAGAGGTAATCGCACACAGCAACATTTTTTCCTGTTCTTACTTTCTGCTCCTGTTTAACACAGTCTAGCAGCTGAAGGCCACGTCTAGTCTTTCAGAGTTCTTGTGCTTTGATTCTTTCTGTTTTACCCCCTGTAACTCTCAGATAGGAGAAAATATGCCTTGCTTGTAGAAGTTTATATTTTAGCATACAATTTGAAGTTAAATATGCTAAAAGGATTTTTGAAAAACAGCTGTCAAGGCTTTTTGCCACAACTTCAAGAATATTTCAGTCACAGTTAAAGTGTCTTGATTTCTGTTAGCTACAGAACCAATTAAAGGTTTTTTTTTATATAATGCTTGGGGCATTTTCATCTAAAATCACACAAAGAACCTTTTCACACACATTTTGGACAAACGGAGCAGTTGACATGCTCAGGTCATTTCAATCAATTCACCAATTTTCAAGCAGAAATCTCATTTAACTTGATTTTCTGTTTCTGAGTCAGTTTCATCAACACTTTTTTAAACACTCTGATGATATATTACTATGTTGATTACAGTATGTTCCCTGAAGGTACAGTAATACATTTCTAATAATATTTTCATCTGTACTCAGCAGTTTTTCTCTACATCCTTGCTAAGTAGAACAATTTTAGTGATGATTTTTCTATTCCTGCTGGAGAATGAACTCAAAATACCATCTAACTGCAATTTTCTTTAATTTTCCTTCCACTTTAATGCCAAACCATATAGTCAATTAATTTACATAGGGAATAAAAAATTAACAACAATGACCTAACACCTACAGAAATCGTCATATAACAATAAACAAAGAATTTTAAAACATAGACAATTGCCTTTTTTTTACGTTAGTGGTAGAATTAAAACCATTGGCTTCAAAAAAGCATGACTTTGAGTGTGAATGTTTGAGATGTTTATAAAAAATAATGAGTGAATGAAAGTCACAAGATAAAACCAAATGCAAACTAGAGAAATTGCATTTCCTGCGAAAATGAAGTGTAAATGCTTATTGCAGAAGAACTTGCTGAAAAAACATGGAAATTAGCTTAAAGAACATGCTGAAGTGGAAGTACAAGCCTAAATTAGTAGAAAAACCAGAAAGAACACATATTTGCTGAAATAGGTTTAAATAAACTGAAATTATCAGAAAAATTAGGAAAGTAGCTTAAAAAAGCTGAAACTAGCAAAAAAAAAAGTAGCTGAATAGTGGCTGAAAGGTAGAAATAAGCTTAAACTACTAGAATCAACCGGAAAGAGCTGAAATCGGCTAAAAAATGTGGAATTAGCTAAAGAAGCTAAAAATAGTATTAAAAAAGCTAAATAGTAGCTGTAACTGCAGAAATAGCTGAAGGTAGCATAATTAGACTGAAAGGAGCATAACAAGCTGAAATTAGCGTAAAGAAGTAAATTAGTCTGAAAGAAGTAAACCAGCCATAAAAATAACAATGTATCTGAAAACAGCCAAAACTAGCTAAAAAAAAAGTGTTAAAAATGTAGCTGAAAATGTAGAACAACCTTAAATTAGCAGATGAAAGCAGAAAGAACACGTTTACCCAGTTAGGCAGAAAAAAACAAAAATGAGCACAAGGAGTGGAAATTATCTTAAAAAAGTTGAAATTAGCATAAAAGAAACAGCTGAAAAGTAGCTAAACTTCAGACAGAAGCTGAAATTACCAGAAAAAAGTGTAGAGAACACATTTTAACTAAATTAGGCAGAAAAAAACTTGAAATTAGTGCAACAAATGTGGTATTTGCTGAAAAAGCTAAAATTAGCATAAAAACAGCACTAGCTAAAACAGCAGGAAAAAAAACTTAAACTTGCAGAAATAAGCTGAAAGGAGCACAACAACACCGGA